TTTTTTTTTTTTTTTGGTGCTGCTTGGGGTGTGTACATGCTACGATCTTAGCAGAGAAGTTACGTTAACTTTGGGGCTGCACTGGCTGCACTACAGCTTCTCAACAAAGGCTTCTCAACTATTTATGTTTTAAATCAATTTCTGCTGAGAATTCAATGGACTTGAGTGGAACTGAAACACTGAGGTTTGGAAAGACTCAATGGGAGGAAAGGCTCGCTCTTTGTCTGTTGAAGAATATTTGCAAGGAAATATCATACAGTAAAACTTTATCACGCTCTCATGAAGGACATGTGTCAGCTCTGTGTTGATTAACACAGATACCAGCTTGGTAACCACCTTCCCTATGGAAACAGCAGCCTTACAGAGGCTGCGCTTGCTTATCAAGTGTATTTGTAAAAGAAATAAATTAAAAACGAGCAGTATTAGTTTACAAACAATTATTTACTGAGAGAATGGCAAAGGTAGAAAGCTATGGTTTGGGGCTTGCTGTACCACAGCCGTCAGTACTGATATACAGGAGAAGAGACCTCTGGGTAGTCCCTAAAGTGCAAAACCCATAGAGATTTTGCATAAAATTATTTTGTGAATTGGTCTATCTGTTAATTGTTAGGCTGTTTTAAAAGAAGAAAAAACAGGCAACGTGGTAACTTTAGTCAGCATTTCTGAACTGGGAATGATAAACACCTCTGCCTGGCTCTGGCATTTATCAGTACTGAGATATTATTACCACATAGAGTCACAGCATGGTTACTGTTATCATCAAAAAAAAAGAGCCAGCTAATCTTAATGGTTTGTAAAGCCGTTACCTGCACTGGTCTGACATTTATCATGATCATTTTACCACATGAGTCCTACATTGCAAAGGTATTTTATCTGGAAGGGACATCACTATGAATTATTATTTGCAGCTAGGTAGAAAATTGTATGTTGTAGATACCTTTTCTCATTATAAATCACAGTCACATTTCACCATTTCCCACACAAAGCTGCTGAGCCCAGGCTTTTTGCCATAACACTTAGTCTCGCTCCCTTTTATAGTTCCATGAAAATATTGGGTACTCCTTCATTAAAATGGTTGATACTGGTGGGTTTTTTTAATGTTATATACACGCTTGATTTTTTTCTCTAGTATAAAAGAATTTGTTTTTCCACTTGAGAAGCTGAAGAGGATAAACTGTTCATTTTTTTTATTAAAGCTTACTCTCGCTTCAGTTTTTGTGGCTGGGCTTGTCTTTACTCTTGACCTTGTTGATGGAATATTTAACAGATCAGATGCAAGATCTTATGTTTCATTTGCAATACCTATGTATTTGCTTTCTTTCTGTACAGCCTTGAGTTCCACTTTCTTAGAAATTTTCCCCTTTCAGATTCTTAATTAGAAAGATTTTTTTTTTTAAGGTTTTCTCTTTGCCAGTCTCAAATGGAGGGAAGAAATCTTTAAATATGGATTTATATAAATAGCCATGGAGAAGGTATCCCCCTCCTTGCGCTGTATTATGAAGCCTAGCAGTATAGGGAGCAAAGGAAGCAAAACACTTTGAAAAGACATTACGTTCTCCAGCCAAGTCTAGAAAATGAAGCAGACCAGTTTTGACAAAATTAAATAATAATATTTTCCATTATACTCTTCATTGTGAAAACTGGTGAAAATCTGGAGACAAGATTCTCGTTTTGGTAAGTTAGACTCTTCCTTGTGAAGATTTCTGAAGGAAGAGTTGTCATAATCACATATAATAAATAAAAAATGAGGGGATGGTTAATACTTTTTGCATTCTGGGGGCAAAACATGGAAGATTTAGGTGATAATTTCAGCAGATTAAGATACTTCGAAGTGAATTGCAGATGGTTTTCCATGGAATATTTTCATAGAACATATATTTAGGATTTGGGTTACTGTCTTTAAAATTAGGGCTGGCTCCTTTTAACAGACAAAAATTTGAGAGATGCTCTCTTGTTTATATTTAAATAATGAAGAATGCATTGGGGAAAAAAAAAAAAAGAAAAACACCCAAAACCCCCCCAACAAACTACTTTACTTAATATTAAATAAGCTTTTTTGTAAATGAGCTTTGGATAAACTTCTGAGCAGAGAAGAAAACATGATGTGTCTGTAATATTAACAGTGGCTGGGTAAAAATGAATGAAGAAAGTAACCTTTAGCTCTCATGTCCATAAAGAATACTTAAGCAAATCCCACCGAATCTTTCTTTTAATCATTAATTTTAAATGGACATAGATGTTTACAACAAGCCACTTTGTTTCAGAACAGGAAGTCCAGGGTTTATCTCCAATAACTCACGTTTGCTAGGAAGGGATGTATGTCTCTAACCTGACATGCATTCATTATTTTGTAAGGTACTGGAGTCTGACCCGTGACCCTCCTCAGACCTGCTGCATTATTCATGTCCGACTTACTTTGTATAGTTTTACTATAGCACCCATTTCCCTTTACCAGGCATTTCAGTGGCTTGTGCATGTTTAATGTTAAATGGCATTTATGGTTCACATTAATGCCTAATTTTATCACGAGCCATGGTTTCTTTTTATGCTTTCGAGTCTCACAGCTGAAAAAAAGTGATTTATGATTCTGCATAAAATATCAAACTATTGATCTGTCACCTAATCTATGGGGTTTTGTTGTTGTTTTTTAAGCGTGGTTTTCTCTGATTTTCTTACATGGCTCTTCTCACCTTGTTTTGTTTTGGGATTTTTTTTTTTTTTTTGGATAAGATTTCTGCTGTGGGTAAAACGTCACACACTGTTGCTACAGCAAAATCTGTCTGCCAAGAGTTTTTCCAACAATTCGCGACTGATTCAGCTGCTGAGAGAAAGACAGGTCTTTTCTGGGGCTTTTTTGGTTTGTTTATTTGGTGGTGTGAGGTTTTTATTTATTCTTTCTTTTTTTTTTTTTTTTTAAATCAGAACTGAGTGGTTTAGGTGGATTTTTGAGTGCTAATGAAATTGCGAGACTTATGGCGTTGGCTACAGCCAGCCGTAGTGTGGGCAGACGCTCTGTGAGCTTCCCCACTGTGCTGCTGTGCAAGCATCCCCGCTGTTATGTTTGCTATAGTTTTAATGTCTGTGAAAAATTCCTGATGCAACTAAATTATGTTCTGCCCTCTTGTTTGTATAAATAAACACCCGACTTAGCCAATTCATCTTGCTCTTGCCCATTTTAGAAGCTTGCCCTGACACACAATGCTTAACCTCAGTCCTTGATAGCTTTGGTGTTATCAGGGAATGAAAACTTGCTTAAAAGAGAGTGCTCTGTTGGCTTGATTTTTTTTCCAGAGATGTCAGCTGCCCAAAACTCTGTTTTCATCTGCTAAGTCTTCATATTC